AACCCCGCACCGTCGTTGATCTCCGGGTTCAGCACCGCGTGGAGCAGGGCGTCCAGGACCAGAGCGCCGGGCACCAGCTCGCCGCGGTCAATGAACGACTGGATTGGTGTGGAAGGGGGGTGGGGGTGGGGGGGTGGAGAGGAGCAGGGGGGGGGCTTGGGGACAGGTGAGTGGTGGGGCTTGATGGGGTGGCAGCATCATCGGTGCTGCTGCCCAGGCAAGAATTTCAGGCTTCAACCCGTTCAGGAGCCAAGCCCCCTGCCCCTCCATCCCACCCACCCCATCGCACACCTTGATCTCAGGGTCGCCGTCCAGGAGCTGGGACATGCCCACCGAGCGGCTGAGCCCACGGGACTTCACTATGAAGGGCATGTTGGTGCCCTTGCCCGAGCCGGGCGCGCCGTTGAGCCAGACCACCTCGCGCGGGCAGACGTAGGTGTCGCCCCACTTCTCCTCCACGCGCCGCCACCCCGCCTCGAACAGGATGGTGGCCTTCAGGCTCAGCTGCTCCTTGGGGAGGCTGGCGTGCAGCGTGCGGTCGGGGCGGGAGCGCAGCGCGTCGCCGTAGGTGGGGGGGGCCAGCGTGGAGCCCTGGGTTTGGGAGGGGCAGGAGGAAGCGAGGATCAAGCGTGGGTGCAGGTCCAATGGGGTATTCGATGGCCTGAGTCAGTGGTAGGCGTTTCAAGGGCCCCTCCCCTTCTTCCTCGCCCTTGAGACCAAGGCCCCTGACAACAGGCCGTTCGCGATCAGCCCATGAGACTCGAGACCTCCAGCCCACCCAGTGAGATATTTCTCTCGACAACATTCCATGTGCATGACTTGTACCCTTCCTGCACCCCTTAAACCACCAACCCGGCCACCCCCACCTTGGTCCCGAGGCCGCGCCGTCCCTGGCCCTGGGCCCGCTTGTTCCTCCCGGCCGCCTGGGAATGCGTCAGGCGGGAGTGGGGCGGCCATATCCGGGCTTCTGTTTCCCTCGGGGAGAGGTCGCCCGTGTTGCAGTTGGCGTATGTGGTGTGGGTGACGCACACGGCACTCTCTGGGAATACCGGCAGGGTGTGCAGATTCAACAGCTGAGGCAGCGCGCGGGTGACCGCCGCCTGACCCAGGGAAGCCAGTCCAGAACACGAACTGGTCAAGCGTTGCATTTTATCAGTCGGGCTGGTGCTGAGAGCGGGCGACCATGAATGGGCGTACGGGTCCGCGGAACACGCCAAGTGGGGAGAACTGTCCACCGAGAATGTCAGGAACCGAGTGTGCTCCTGGTCCGAAAGCGCAAGGTACCTTGAATAGTTGATTACGAAGCCGGTATGGCTGAATCTGTGTTGGTGATTATAGAGCTTACCGGTGCGGTTGCTGTTTGTTGGTCCTTGGGAGTCGAGTCGTAGTCGGTGGAAAGCCCGGCATCAATAACAACAGGTTTGCGAGGCCGGAAGCGCCCTCGGCCAGACCCATCTCGCTTTCGCAGACATGTTGGGGCGGGTGTACTTTAGCAGTAACAGTATCGTAATCTAAGGTCCGAGTAAGCTTTGAATGTCGGCAGAGCACCTGCATCGACTCATGGGTGCCCGCTGAACTATCTAGGAAACGAGCTGCTGGTGGCTCTTTCGCCTGGAAGGCGGTGTATGTCGCACCCGATGAACCTATGACTCTGCTTTGAGCTTCGACCTCCTGGTTGAATTACAGATCAGCACCATCGACTAAGATCTGCTGCAACATGTTGACCAAGAGGCCCACCGCGAGACCGGACGCAACCCTGTTCCCGGCCGCGGCATGCCAACTGGCCGAGATCCGCGGGATCCTCAAGGTGGGTATAAGAGAGAATGTGATGGACGTATGTGGGGCCCCCGAACGTGGATCCGCTCGAATGTCCTGGGAAGCACAATCCCCCCCCCCCCCCCCCTCCTCCCTTTCCCTCAGGTGTTCCCTATCCCTGAGGACGACGGCCCGCGCCCTGACCTGCCTGACAAGCAGGCATGGACCGGTGCGGCCCTGTCCCAGATCGACGACCTTCACACCCTGGGCTTCACCCAGTCCCAGTGTCTGGAGGCGGTGACAGCCATGGGCACCCTTGACCGGGACGCTCTGATCGAGTGGCTGCTCCTGCATCTGGCGCCAAAGGACATCCCCCGTGTTTTTGCCCTCCAGTCAGCCTCCGAGTCCGGGGACGTGGCGGTGCTGCACAAGGCAGACCCTGCCGCCCGGGAATCGGCTCGCGCGCTGGGTGCCATGGCCCGGGAGGCGCCTGAGCCCCGTGGGCCAGCATTGCAGGAGCTGAAGGCAGAGGCGGCGGCACATGAGCCGGCTTCCGACCAGAAGGCCTGGATCCTGCAGCACCTGGAGGCTGCAGGGAGCAGCAGCGGGGACAGCGACGATTCCCGATCCCGGGTAGGTCATGGTCTGCGAGTGAGTAGCTCCTGGGTTTCCTTGCTTGTAGGTCCCGGCAAAGGGCAGTGCATGGGTCAACAGGACATGTCGTGAGGAGGAACTTTGCAGATGTTTTGGACGGACTGCATCCCCTGATCGCATGACGACCCTGCCCTTCATCCCCCTGCGTCCTCCGTCCTCCGCAGTCGAGCAGCAGCAGCGTGGAGGACTGGGAGGTCTGGGGCGCGCCGGAGGAGGTGGCAGCGCGTCGGGCCCAGCGCTCCCGGGCCGAGCAGCTTGGGGCACTGTCACGGGGGGAGCTCGCTGCACAGCTGGGGCGGGAGTTGCAGGAGGTAGGCGCATGCGCCCACGAGAGGAGTGAGGCTCGTGAGGCGGCGGCTCAGGGTCGCCATCCATGAACGCATGTCGGCCGAGGTACGCTTGCAGGTATTCCATCCGGCTGAGGGGATAAGGGGTCCAGGTTCCAGAATAACTCCCCCTTGCCTGCGCCAGGCTCTTCGGGCCGGAGCCAAAGCCAAGGGCTCCCGGGACTCGGCGGGGCAGAGGACGGCTGGCGAGGCCATTCGAAGGGTGAAGGCGGAGATCGCTGCCTTCGCCCTGTCACCAGAGGAGCTGGACGTCGGTGCCAGGCCTGCCAGCCCAGACCCGGTTGCAAAAGGTGCTGTGGAGACCGGCACGCCTCCCTCGGCACAGCACCCAGCTGTTCCTCCTGAAGACGACTGGGTCGTCCTGGGAGAGGACAGTGGCAGCGAGGCGTCTGGCGCTGAGGACAAGGTGGAGCCTGGACCCAAGGCCCCCTTCCAGGCTGCGCCACAGGCAGCGCCTGAGTCGCGGCCTCCCCAGGATGAGCCGGTGTTTGATCTGTTTGGTGAGGTCGGCGACGAGGCCGGCAAGGAACCGATGCCCAGGCGACAGGGTCAGCCCCCTTCCCGGCTGCTGGCAAGCCTTCCTCCTCCCCCAGTCCCCCAACGTGGTGCCAAGGGGGGTGCCAGAGCGCGAGCTGCGCCCGCCAAGAGGGGTGCCAAAGCGCTGGCTGCATCCGTCGGTCCCCCGGTCCAGACACCCAAGCAGGCGCTGGCAAGGTACTGCCAGTCCCAAGGGCTGGCAGCGCCCCGGTACGAGAAGCTGCAGGCAGGGGGAGGGAGGAACGATGGCGAAGTGAGTGGCGTGGGTTGCTGGAGGCTGCTTGCGACCCATGGATGTAGTTGTAGCTTGTTTCTGGGCCCTGTTGTGATTGTTGCTGTAGGATGTGAGGCCAAAGCTCATGTGACCTCACGTGTTGAGAGCTTGCACAATGCTCTGGCTGGAAAGCATGTCTGGTCCCCTTGTCCTGAGCCACGAATGCCTCGTTCCCAGGGCGGAATTCGTTACTCTGTCACCCTGGAGCAGCTCCTCCCTGGCAAGCCCACTCCCAAGAAAGTCACCACTCGGTGCCAGCTGGCGGTGCTCGAAGACGGGTGGGACACCATTGAGGTGCGATGACTCCATTGCATGAGGCTGATGGTGATGGATCTCAAGGTATCGGACATGAATATGTGGGCAAGTGGGTGCACGTTTTGCTTCCTCCTTGTTCTGCTCTGCACCAGAGGGCAAAGCCAATCAATCTGAAGTTTGGCTGATAAGGAATGCTACGCAAATTCTGGTTGCATCATTCCTCTTCCTTTTTTCAAATTCGGGTCAGAGTCTGATCCAACGATAGCCTCCAAGCCTCCCCATCTTCACCTCCTCAAAATGTCCAGGAAGCCCAGCACGCTGTTGCCACCAGGGCCCTGTACCTCACCACACCCGAGAGCCTGGGGCTGTGGCAGAAGCTGCCTCCTGATCATCGTGAAATGTGGTTTCAATGGGTAGATGGGGCCGACGCGGGGCTGGACACACTGAAGCTAGGGCGAGTAGTTTTGGGGGGGGGAGTGGGGGGGCGGCCGGGGGTATGCAGAATGATTGTATGGGACATTGCGGTCTGTGCCTCTGCAAAGAACTTATTACGGAGTGAGTAAACCTGTTGTGCTTCTCAATGTTGCGATCCAGTGACGCAGCTGTTTACTACAGCACCAATATTACAATGCTCAGCTTCATTACCCCACCCTCCCTCACACAGGGATGAGGAGGAGCTGAGCAACCTGCAGGCCCGTCTGGAAAGCGTGTACAGCGACCTGCATGCTCAGGAGCGGGCGCGCCGGCTGGCCGACGTGGTCCCTGGCGAGGGCGGCCCCTCCGCGAGGGGTGGCTCGTCCAGGTCCCAACTCCCGGACCCCGAGTGGGTGGCGCGCGAGAGCGCTCGCCTGCGCAGGCAGCGCGCCGACTGGCTGGCAAGCGACGCGGGACGCGCCTGGGCTTCCCGCAGGGCACAGCTCCCCATTCATCCCCTGGGCCCCCGCCTCACGGCGGCCCTGGAGGCCGGCGACGTGGCCATCGTGGCCTCCGAGACGGGGTCGGGGAAGACCACGCAGGTGCCCCAGTTCTTGCTGGACGCCGCCATCGACCTCCTCCGCGGCACGGCGACCTCGGTGGTGTGCACCCAGCCGCGGCGCATCGCGGCGACCTCCGTGGCCGCCCGCGTGGCGGCGGAGCGAGGGGAGGCCGCGCCAGGGCAGCCGGGTGGGCAGGTGCGCGCATGTGGGTGAGCGCGGCAGGGGGTGGGGCGGGTACGGGCCTGAGCTGAGGCTGAGGCGGGCTGGCAGGGAGCCCGACTCTGCCCGCCAGCCGACGTTCTGAACATGCCTGGGGTCCACGGGGGCCGTCCAACACCATGCTTGCTAGCGCCAGGTCGCACCCTGCCCCGACAGTGCTTCGGGCCACTCACCCTCTGAATAGAGTCAGTGCCCCAATGCCTACAAGCCCACAACAACACGCTACCCCCCTTCTCACTCACCACGCACAGGTGGGGTACCAGGTGCGCTTTGACTCGGCGATGACGGCGTCTACGCGCATCCTGTTCTGCACCACGGGCATCCTGCTCCGCCGCCTGGCCTCCGACCCGCAGCTGGACAGCGTGTCGCACGTGGTGGTGGACGAGGTGCACGAGCGCAGCATGGAGGGTGGGTGTTTTGGTGCGGGCGGGGGTGTTTGCGTTGGGTGCATCATGGTCGGTGTGGAGGGTCTGGGGGGTCTGAAACACGACAGATGCACTGGCATCATCCATCTGTCGTTGCCCTCTGCCTGTCGGCCCTTGCACGCCAAAGGCCCCCTCCCCCTCCCCTCGCAGGCGACTTCCTGATGGCCCTGCTGCGTGACATGGCGGCGGCGCGGCGCGCCGTCGGCCGCCCCCTCAAGCTCGTGCTGATGAGCGCGACCCTGGACTTCGGCGCGCTGTCCGAGTACTTTGGCGGCGCGCCCGTCCTGTCCTCCCCCGGCCGCACCTTTCCCGTGACGCAGCGCTACCTGGAGGACGCCTATGAGGCCACGGGGTACGCGCTGGCCGAGGACTCGCACTGCGCGCTGCGGGCCGGCTCCGACGCTGCGCTGCGTGCCCGCCAGGCCGCCATCTGGCGGGCGGGGGCGGGGAGCCAGGGGGTGCTGGCGCAGGGGTGGGGCGACGACGGGGCCAGGCCGGGCGCCGTGCTCAACCCCCACTACCACCCAGGCCTGTACGGGCACCTCAGGTGTGCAGGGTGGCAGGTAGGGGCGGCGTGGTAGTTCCTCTGCCAGAGCTGGGGCCCTCCAGCCAGCCACAAGGATCCTGCGCCTGTCGAGGCATCTCAGAGCCACTGAACACCCCCCCCTGCAGCCAGCGCCCCCCAGGATAACACCTTGCCCCAACCCCTCTCACCCAACATCTACCAGCCCGGTGACCATCCGCAACCTGAAGCGGGTGGACGAGGAGGCGCTGGACCTGGACCTGGCGGAAGCGCTGGTGGAGCACATCGCGGAGAAGGGCACCGCTGGCGCCATCCTGGTCTTCCTGCCGGGCATGGCCGAGATCTCGGCGCTGCAGGACCGCCTGGCGCGAGAGTCCGTGGACCGCGCGCCGGGGTCGCGCCTGGTCCTGCCCCTGCACTCCTCCACCCCCGCCGACGAGCAGCGCCTGGTGGGTGGATGGTGCCTGCGGTGTGGGTGTGAGGCTTTGGGCGGGAACCCTGGATCTGGGGCCCCCCGTTTGACAGGCACGCGGGGCATGCGTCTGACTGGGATGATCCGTCTGGCGTCCAGCAGGGCGCAGTACCCCTCGCCCCCCAGGGGGTGGGAGCGTGCTGCCCACCCACCCCCCAGCGCCCCCACCCCCACAGCCCCCCGGCGTCCCCCAGCCTCATCCCCCCCCTCCCCCCCCACACCCATGCAGGCCTTCCTCCCCGCGCCGGAGGGCACGCGCAAGATCGTGCTGGCCACCAACATCGCGGAGACGAGCGTGACCATCGAGGACGTGGTGCACGTGGTGGACTGCGGCCGGCTGAACGAGCGGCGGTACGACGCCGCGGCCCGCACCAGCGTGCTGGCGCGGGCCTGGGTCTCGCGCGCCTCGGCCGCGCAGCGGCGCGGCCGCGCGGGCCGCGTGCGCCCCGGCGAGGCCTGGGCGCTGTACACGCGCGACCGCGCGGAGCGGCGCCTGCGCGCCCACCAGGCGCCGGAGATGGAGCGCGTGCCGCTGGAGGAGCTGGTGCTGACGGTGCACACCCTGGGCCTGGGGCCCGCGGCGGGCATGCTGGCGCGCGTGCTGCAGCCGCCGCCCGCGCGCAGCGTGGACGCCGCGCTGCGCACGCTGCGCGACATCGGCGCGCTGGGCGCCGACGAGCGCCTGCTGCCGCTGGGCGCCGCGCTGGGCGCGCTGCCGCTGGACGCACGCGTCGCGCGCGTGCTGCTGGTCGGCCTCGCCGCCGGCTGTGCGGCGCCCGCCGCCTCGGCCGCCGCCTGCCTGGCGCACGCCGCGCCCTGGCTGGAGGCCGGCGCAGCGGCCGCTGCCGCCGCGGCGGCCTCGGGCCTGGCCCTCGCCGCGGGCCGGCAGTCAGACCACCTGGCCGCCGCCGCGGCGCTGGGCGAGTGGGTGCGGGAGGGGGCGACGCGCGGGCCTGGCGCCGCGGCCGCGCTGGCGCGGCGTCGCCGCCTCGCGCCGCCCACGCTGCGCGCGCTGGGCGAGCTGCGTGCGCAGTACGCCGCGCTGCTCGCCGATCTGGGCTGGGCGCCGCGCAGCGCCGCGCGCCGCGACCGCGCGACCTGGCTGGACGACGCGGCCGCGCCCTGGAACCGCCACGCGCGCAAGCCTGCGGTGGTGGCGGCCGCGCTGGCCTGGGCCCTGAAGCCGGCCCTGGCGGTGGCCGAGCCGCCCGGCACGGCGGAGACAGGCGGGTCATGTGTGTGTAGAAGGGGGAGGGGATCGTTGGGGTGACACCGGCTGGGGTCATGTATGGCCGCAGTCAAGTGGCTGTCTGATTTGGGGGCTCATGTGGGCATGGCCGGACTGTCTGCAAGGCCTCGCACTCGAACTTTCACATCCTTCGTCCCCACCCTGACATCCAGCGATCGCCTCGTCACCCCACCCATCCCCTGAACACCCAGGTGCCCGTCCCCGGTGGCGGGATGTGAGTGGTGAGGTGGCTGTACACCCCTCCTCCGTCATCCACCCCCTGACCCACACGACGCTGCACCACCCCTTTGTCACCTTCCTCGACAAGGTTCGAGGGTGATGGTCCAGGGGAGTGTCGGTGGCACTCGGCAGACAGGGGAATTCGATTGCCTGCCACTGTCCCTTGGGATGCCAGGGGGAAAGTTGCCAGGGGGCTCCCTGGGACATGCTCCTGTGCGGCATGGGAGGGCCTCGCTGGACATCTTGCGCACGATGAACTGGACACTCTCCTCAATTCCCACCGCTCTGACCCTCCTCATTCACCCAACCAAGCCAGATGCGGACGTCCCGCACGTTTCTGAGGGACTGCACGGTGGTCTCCCCCCTTGCGGTCCTGCTTTTCGGCGACGGGCTCCGCCTGCACCCCGAGGTGGGGGCGGCCACCCTGGACGGCGACATCCGCATCAGGCAAGCTAATACTTTAAGATTTGTGGTCGGATGTGGCAACCAGGCCAGGGAGTGACGCAGGATGCTTTGTATGTGGAGTTGCTGCGGCGCGGCAGGCTCCAGGGAGTCGACGATGATGTTGCTCCTTGCTAGCTCGTCCTGCAGACCTCCTTGCCACCCCCTGCACACTGCACACCCTCCCCTGCCACGCCTTCATTGCTGCGCTCTTGGATGGATCTCCGCCTCCCACCGCCGCAGGGTGCCAGCGGTCACCGGCGCGCTGGTGAAGCAGGTGCGCCTGGGCCTGGAGGCGATGCTGTCCAGCATGGCGGGGCGGCAGGACAAGGCGCCCACCCCTGCCGAGCTGGCGCTGGTGGATGCGGCGGCCATGCTGCTCCAGGCCGAGGACGGCGTCCGGAGCTGGGGCTGAGGATGAGCCTGATGCATTCCGGCACCTGGAAACACACTTCCCCAGTACCCTCTGCGCCCTTCATTCCCTTCCTCCCACAGCCCCCGGCCATCCTTGTATGACACAGCAGTGCAGCCCGCCTCAGGCCAAGTGCACGGCGACATACAGGAAGCCATCCCCCGCTGCGCAGCTGGAGTACAGCGTCGCCAGGCTCGTTTCTGGCGCCGGGGTCAAGCCACACACGGTTGCGGTGTATGGCCTCGGGGATGGTACCGGCGAACAGTCTGCCTCCTCGGGCCCCGGGCGCTCGCAGAGGTCCGCCTCCCGCAGGATGCCGTCCAGCGCCTGCCCCAGCGACAGGCCACTCGGCCCCGCGCTATCCTCCCCCTCCCCCTCCGTCTCATCACCCCCCCGGCTGATGGCAACGGGGCGGGAGGAGTAGAACACGCCCCGCCAGCTGCCAGGCACCCCCCCGGCCTCGCAGGCCAGGATGCGGACCGGGAGGCTGGGGGGCCGCCCCCTCCACGACCCCGGGCTCAGCTGCAGGGACGCGGCGGCCTCAGCATACGCGGCGGCGTCGGCCCGGGTCACGGCGGACCAGAGCTCCGTCTGGCTCCCGGCCGCCATCTCCATGACGCGCCCCGCAGTGCCGCGCAGGATGAAGGTCGCCTCCTGACAGGAGGTGGATGTCGATCAGAGACATGTCGATGGATCTCAGGTGAGGGACCATCGCCGATATGTGCTATTCAGGTGGGCCTGGGCGCTAGGCCAAAGGTGTCCAGTGGGACAGTGGCAGCAATCGCACCCACACCCATACCACTGGACAGGCATGGGCAATCCAGACGCCCTGCACCACATCCCCAAGCCTCGATGCTCAAACGCTGACCAATGTCCCCGTGCCACCCCGCAACCTTGAGGCTGTTGAGGAAGGCCGCTTTGAGGGATGTCTCGGGCATGCATGGCGGCATGGCGGCCAGCGGGTAGCCAGAGAATCGGATCTGTGGGTGAAAGGATGCAGGCTGACTGGTGCACATGTGCTCCTGGCGTGACTACGCATGACTGACCGGGTGAGCGCATCATTGCACAGCCACGTTCGGATGGGAGCGCCAGCAATCCACGCACCGTCAGCATCCATGGCAGATCATCTGGGCGGGCTAGAAGGTCAAAGAGCACTCCCACCGGCACAGACCTGCAACGTTGGGATTCAAGTTTTCGTGTCTTTGCTCCTTTGACGCAAAATCACATCACCGGATCATGCTGCGCACAGCAACAACCCTCGCCCACTTGCCAGCGCAGGGGGAGGTGCCGGAACTCAAGCCAAGGGGTGTGGGGTCCGGCACCCAGGTACCGGTCCAATCGCGCCAAGCATTGGGGTACGAGGGTGTAGAGGTAGCTCACACGAGGCAGCATGAACTGTGAGGGAGGTGTGGGCGTGGAGTGCACAGACCTGAAGGCGGAACACAACCCTGGGCATCCAGAAGAGATCAGCACGGCAGTGAAGGCACGCCACACCCCAGGCAGCAGGCTCCAAGAAGCTGGCACGCACGTAGAGAGGGGGTGGCTGCTCGACGGAGAGCACATCGGAGTCTGCCAAGACTATTTTCACCGGAATCTGTGTGAGGAGGAACAGGGTATTAGCTCGAATCTAAGACGAGCGTCCTCTTCTATGCTCGACTACAAGTACACTGTGCCTCATAGGCACGCACACTCGCCTTCAATTTCCAAGCTTCCTTTACCATCCCGGGAGAACGGGATATCTATGGGTGTGCGAAGGCCAAACGGTGGTAGGGCGCTGCTTAGGAGCAACACGATACACCCGATTGCGAACTCTTGGGCGAATTGTCAGATCTCGTGGAAACGGCATTGGGATAACAGCTTGGTTGCTGCATGAACATCCCAGCTGTGGAGACAAAGCGCGAAACTGCTCTGATGCCGCCATCTCCGAGCTCCCGTAATGATCGCCAAGATGGGACCTACTCACTGGTCATGCAAACCATATCCCATCTTGGTCCACTCTGCCTTGTCAGTTAGTCCTGCCGTGCACTATTCCATTATCCTCTCGTGCTGTATTACTTGGACCTTCCTGCGGCACTGTTCACCCCGTGGCGCGACCATTGCGCATGCCACCCTTTTAAGGAGGGACGCAGGCTCGTCTGGAAACGAAACAACCACTCAGTCGATAATTAACGGAATTCCTCCTGGATACTCTGTAGCTTACGTCGCTCATTGCCACAGCGAAGTGTATTAGGAACCCTTGAAGACGGAAGGCAAGAGCGCCCTATGATCGTTGCCTCGCCTGGCCATCAGGGACATCCGGAGCGAGAGGGAGGTAGAGTGGAGATGACCGAGGGAAAACTCGACAGTTACGCCCTTGTCTAACCGACACTGAGTGTTTGAGTGGAGGCAATGTTAACTCGAATTGGTGAGAACTAAGGATACATGCAAGGTCGAGTGTGTTAGTACACCCAGCCATTAGTTGCTTTAGAACACGAATATAATGCCGCAACAGAAAACGCTACGAAACGGCTTCAGGCCATCATCACGACCTATTTTGCGAATCTATCTGGAGCTTGACGTCTCAATTTTTGGGAAGGTGCGGCATTCATAGTGTTTGCCATAGCTCTACTCTACTCTGTAGTGGACGCAGAGTACCGTGCTTCAAATGGGGGAGGAAATTTTCACTTGCGTGGAAAAGCAGACCACTTCTCTGCAGGGGAAGGAGATGAATTCCTCTAAAATGGAGATTACTTCTACTGAGATGAACGGGATGACTCCTTGGCAGTGAGAGAGGGGTTTAGGGTGGGGTGTTGGCAGTTTTGGCAATTGCATAGGAGTGGGAGGCAACTTCTCCTTGGGTGGGGGCAGGGGCAACATTTTGGGAGGGTAACGGCAAGAGCTCGAACGAGAATAAAGCTTCTTCCAGGGGGGATGGGGAACAGTCAGTGCTGGCTGCACGCCACTGGGTCGTGGGACAGCCATGGGCAAGGATGTGGGAGGAAAGAATGTGGGAGACGAAGTGGGGAAAGGTGTGGCGGCGAGGGAGATAGGTTAGGAAGGTGGCGCATTGCCGCCGCTTGAAGACAGGGCGGCAGAGGCGGCTGGCCCGCTGGTGGGGAAGAGAGTGGCGGCGAATGGAACAGATGGGGAGGGTAGTGATCTGTAGGGTGCTTGGTGACGGGGCAGGACTGCCTCTGTGGCGCGAAGGATGTGAGAATTCCCTCCTTGAGCGGACCAGAGACAGCGGCACGACCAGCGTGTGCCGACTGCAGCTGGAAGACAGTTCAGTCGATACTACACCGCTCCTAACATGATACAACACAACACTTCGTCTCGTGAGGTACGTTCGCACGTTCAGCTGGCCGAAGAAAGGCCACGCCAAGGATCAACATTGGGCCCTCACTCAGGGGCGTGGGGGGCTCGGAGCCCGATCAAGCGACGCTCAGTTTATTTCTCCCTTTTTTGCAAACGGGTTTGGGCAAGGGTGGCGTTAGACCGGGAATCAAGTATTGACCCGGGTTGGTCTCATTTCGCGGTGACCAAGATCCTCCGCGTTTGGATTTTGATCGTCACGAGGGTTGCACGATCTCTCGTCATGCTTCACGAGTTGTAGAAACCGTCTTACTTCAAATACGATGCGTTGTCACCACACGTCCATTCACTGTGTCTGGATCCCTATTGACATCCCATTGCTTGAAATCCCCGCTATCCCCATTCGAATCCCGGCTCAATCCCGAGTCTGGTACCTCGCAGATGGCCCTGCCCGATGACGTGCTCTTGTACGTATTCCGAAATTTATCCATTTCGGACTGGGCCTGCAAGGTCGCCCTCGTCTCCAAGGGCTGGGCCACCCTGGCGTCACAGGAAGCCATGGCCTTACTTCCTCCCTGCCTCCAGCCTCTGACCCGGGGCCCCTGCTTCACTCACGGCGGCCCGGGATGCACCCAGTGCGGCATCAGGCTCGCACACCTCCTCTTCTGCAACAGTGTGCTGCACAATCCATCCTTCAGACTGGACGCCCAGGCGAGTGGCGGGAGGATGAGCTGTGCGTGACAGGTGTACACCCTTCACGACACCTGAGCAAGGTCCGAGGTGTGTGATGTGTCCGACGCTGCAGCGTGTCAATCAGCCGAGGAGCTTGGGAGGCAGGTCCCGCTCTGCCTGGACCTGTACACTGGGCTTTACCAGCTTCAACACCGGCCAGGTGTGATGGTCGAGACTTTCTTTATACTTCTGCGATGTCTGCTCTGGATGACAGTGGAAGGCAGGGACGCAAGCTGGGGTGCAGTGACCAACCAGACTCAGCAGTCCCAGCCCCCGACCCAGGTGGATGGTGCCCCTTCCAGCTCGTCTGTTACACAGCTTCGCTGCCTGTCAGAGACGTTCGAGTGTGTGCAGGAGGTCGATCTGCAGCAGGTACACCCAACTAGGGTGTGTTGCAGGCATGCGCATCTGACGGTCTCAGGGCTCCGAGGTCGGGTGGGGGGCGATGGATGCCGAGATCGTGCTGTTGCAATGAAACCAATGCATCAATGCTCGAGGTCACCTCCCCACACACAGGCGCTGTGCAGGTGCGGCATGGACCATGCCGATGCGGGGCAGGTTCTTGACTCCGGGCTGGGCCTCCAGCTCCGCATCAAATTTGCCGCGGCAGTGCAGGGAGGCGAGGCTGGCTCCGAGGAGCAGCTGGTGCCGCACTCTGTTGCCACGGTGTGCCTGGCTGTGGATGACGGCACATGCCACCGCCCCGTCCTCAACCGTGAGCTCCGGGGAGGTGGGAGGGGTCATGGCATGCTGGGTGGGGAGGTCCGACGCTTGATGCAACTGTCGTGAATCCAGGCGCACTCTGGGGGTCTGACAGGATTGAGGCATGCTCTGTCACACTGATGCCCACCCTCTGCTGACAAAGTCAAAGGGTCTGTGGACGTCTGGAAAGTGGACGCTCTCGCCTGGGCCCTCGCGTCAACAGAGGAGGGAAGGCCGGGGGCGCAGGATCTGAGCGTGGCCATCCCCAGGCTCCCTTGCCAGACACGCAGGGCGGTCGTCATCCTGCGTGCCTCGGGCGCGGTTGCACAAGGGGCACGCTGCGCGTGCTTTGACAGACCCCGCCTCCTCTTCTCCCCGGCCCGCCCTCGGGGCATCTTGCACGGCGAGGAGCGAGGCGTGTTGGATTCACAGTAGTCCCCACCCACTTTTGCACTGTTTTTCACTTGAGGCAGCGAGGCTGAGTCAGTACAATCTACTTTCCATTTGCATATGCAGTGATCAACCCCTTCCATAATGACCATTGTGGTCTTGCATACATGTACATTCATACATATACACCTCGACCACCGCACACGGCCATTTGCACACACGCGTTACCCCACTTTTACCCTCCCTTGCCCGGCCCCATGCACTGTAATGAGCCCATGGCCTGCTCGTGGCATGCCTTGGCCAGCAAGAAGACCGGATATTAGTGGGCCACAGCTCGGTCAACCCCCTCGGTTTCAGCTCGCCACGCACTCGTCCAGCCCCCGCTGCAAAGACCCCTCCTCCAGCCGCCGGCCGATGAGCACCAACTTGCTGGCCCGGGCCTCACCTTCGGCCCAGGGTGCGGCCGGCACGACGTCGTACAGGTCGTGCACAGCCTGCATGACGTGGCGCCGACCCTCGCCGGCCAAGGAAAGCACGGCCTTGACCCGGAACAGGTCTGGTCCGTGCGAACGCCGCTCCCACAGCAGGCCATCCATCCACAGCCGCAGGCGCCGCAGGTCCAGGGGCTTTTCGCAGCGCAGCGTCACCGCCCAGATGTCCGAGGCGTGGACGGTGTCGGGCGCGTGCCCGCGCCGGTGCTGGCCCTTGGAGTCATGGCCGTGTGACACGCCATGGCGGTGGCAGGGGTCGCTGCAGCCGGGGCGGCAGGCGTCGGGGTCCTCCTCCACGCCCAGCCGGCCCGTGCCGCTGTATATGCCGGTGTCCAGGATGTACTTCAGGTCCACTCCACAGCGAGCGCAGGCCAGGACGGCGGCCGAGCCATTGATGCCGGCCAGCTCGGCGTGCGCCGCCCGCAGTTCCTCCTCGCTCACCAGGTCCTCCTGATGGCGCGAGGCGAGGAGACATGGGGAGCCGGCGTTGAATCGATGCCAGGGCACGGCTGGCTGACAGGACAGGAGCCCAGCCACTCAGGGTGCGAGGCACGGGGCCCAGTTTGCTGTCCAGCGTGAGCCCCTGCCTCACTCAACCAACCCACATCAGCAGCACCAACCTTGTTCAGCAGGACAACGTCGGCGAATGCTATCTGAGCGGCCGCCTCGCACACCTCAGCACCCTCCCCCGGGGGATCTGCCAGCTGGCGGCGTATGTTGCGGGCGTCGACCACGGTGACCACCGCATCCAGGCATACCCCTGCCTCCAGCTCGGCATCCGTCCATAGTGCAGCTGCCACTGGGCCTGGGTTGGCCAGGCCTGCAGGGCCGTGGTGGGAATGGGATCAATGGGTGTGGGCAGAATCAGAAACAGAGGGCTCGAGGGAGCAGCCTGTAAAGGATCAGCAATGTCCACGATTTCAGGTTGCCAGAATCTGCACACCATCAGCTTCTGAAACCTCAACACACCTGTGGTCTCGATCAGGATGTAGTCGAAGGAGGCCCTTTGCTGGAGCAGCGCCTCCAGCGCCTTGACCATGTCATTCTTCACTGAGCAGCAGATGCACCCATTCTCCAGCTGTACCCAGTTGGCCAGGGGGCTTGCCTCCTCACCCTGCATGGGTAAAGAATTTTGGGAAATGGGCCTGACACCATGAGCTGGCAAGCATGGACTAACAGCATGTCCCTTGAGGAGCATGCTCATGCATCACCCCACCCAGCAACCTCCAAACACAACCGATCAAGACCCAAACATACCTCTGGCTCCTTGATCAGGGCCCTCTCTACATCAGCACTCTCCCCAAACTCGTTCATGAGCACGGCGCAGCGGTAGCCATGCTGTGTGTTCAGAATCCTATTGATCAGCGTGCTTTTGCCGGCCCCAAGGTAGCCGGTGATGAGCGTGACAGGCACAGGTTTTAGTGGGCCATCCAGGGAGAGATTCTGTCGATATGATGGGATTTCCCTCGTGGCTCGAGTGGTGCCAGCCTGCTCCGTCAAAGAGACTGCCATGGGGACCTCGTCATCCGCGTCCATGTCCCTCTCAGTAGGGCCCATAGGCGACCTAGCGGCGGCGTTCTCTATGCGTCAGTATGGGTCGCGATGTCGAGATTTCACTGGATAAATAATATGCACGATGCACCCCATGCACACTAGCATTGCTTGACATGCAGTCATCCATGCAACCACCACCAGATCAGCAGGAGGTTTTGGCGCGCTGGCACGGGCGCGCTCGCAGGCCCACCACTGTGGCATGCATGCAAAGGATATTACATGCGTTTGTATGGTACCCCGTGCCTTATTTTATGGACTATCATGTTGTATTATCTTCTGAATAGCGTCACTCTCGAAGTCTGACTTACAAAACCTCCTCGACCGCCCCGGCGCCGCGGTTGCCAAGTGCACGTTTACCGATTACATCTGCCGCGCCACCAACTCCTGACTATACTAGGCAGAATTATTATTGAAATACCCGCCTTGGTACACAAGTAGCCATTCCCCGTCCCTTGAGGTGCAATTCCACAACTGTAGAGGATGGTGAAGAAGCGGAGGCAGCCGGACGTCTACCATAAGCAGAATCTGGGCGATGAGCTCGAGAACCCAGAAAACTTTGGCGTGCGGGTATGTCTGTTAGGGTATCTTGTTGGAGGCCGGGATGGCGTGCCTATATTGCTGGGAGATGCCAGTCTCATACTCTGCCCAGGCAAATCCCTCCTTCCTCACGCCCCTCACAGACCAAGCCCCGGGGCCAGAAGAGGACAAAGAACGGCGACAATGAGGCTGCTGGCTACAACAGCGCCGATGAGGACGTTGAGCAGAGCCTGCCAGCCGACATCAGCCACCGCGTCCTGAGGGTGGCTCGTGAACAGGCCGAGGAGATGGCGGCGGTGGGGTCCGGCGAGGGCGCCGGCGTGGCCTCCAATGCGGCCTCGCTGGCAGCCCTGCGTGAGTCTGACAGCGACGATGAGGGTGGCTTCTCCCCGGGTCCCGGCAGTGCCTGGGGTGACGAGGATGATCTGGATCAGGAGGAGATCAGCCCCGAGGATGAGGCCGCGCTGGCCGCCTTCATGCGCCCCGCCGGCGCAAAACAGAAGACCCTGGCCGATGTCGTTGCTGAAAAGCTTGGCCAGGCAGGCGGCGGCACCGGGTGAGTCTTAGCGGCCTAGGAAGAAAGGGTTTGGGAATGTGGAGGGTGGGGACGTTTTTATTTTGGGTTCTGTGGGTCAGTGGGAATACAATAGCAGATGCCTGGCCTGTGAAGGGCCGAAGTGAATTGCACGATCTGCGCTGCGCTGTCGCACATGTGGGCAGCCCCAACCTGCATGCAGTCCTAGTGTACAGCATGGGCGGAAACCCACCGCCCAGTCGCTGAAGTGGCGGACTTGCGAGAATGAATGGGTGCCATGGGGGTCTGTGTGTGAGGAGGCGAACGCTGCCAGCATCCCCCCTCCCGCTCCCTGGTATCCACATAGTTTACTGTGCACTCAGAACCCTCGCTTTGGCTCTGCCCCCTTGTTCATTGGCGATGTCCCCCCCATGCCTGCGAGCAGTATGATAGAGTCCAAGCCTCCGGCATGGACACTGGCCACAGGACCCTGCCATCCTTCCCCGGCCTCACCTTCCTTTACCCCCCCTCACACCTGCCCCTCAGGCTGACATCTGACCCCAGCACCCGAGTCACACCCGCGGGGCTGGACGAGCGGTTGGTGGAGATCTTCCGGGGCGTGGGCGCGCTGATGTCGCGCTACACCGTGGGCAAGCTGCCCAAGGCCTTCAAGGTCATCCCCACCCTGAAGAACTGGGAGGAGGTCCTGGCCCTGACCGAGCCAGAGGCCTGGAGCCCGCACGCCATCTACCAGGCCACCCGCATCTTTGTCTCCAACCTCAATCAACGCCTGGTAGGTTGTAATTGTTCTTTCTGGCGAGGTGGAGCCTGGGTCCAAGTGGTGCTGGCATGAACTGGCCTTGGGTGTGTGTCCAAAGGCTTTGCTGGGTTTGTCTGCCGCTTCCTAGGGAAGGAGTAGTATGAGAAAGAGGTTTGAGGCACAGCTTGGCTCATTCTCAAGTACGCTGCATGCTCATTGCCCCCACCCCTCCAACCCCAATGCCATTCCGCAGAGTCAGCGCTTCCTAGCGTTGGTGCTGCTCCCGGCGGTCCGCCGCGACATCCGGGAGAACAAGAAGCTGCACTTTGCCCTCTTCCAGGCCCTGCGCAAGGCTACCTACAAGGCAGCCGCCTTCTATAAAGGCCTGCTCCTGCCCCTCTGCTCCTACGGCTCCTGCACCCTGCGTGAGGCCGTCATCTTCTCCAGCGTCCTGCGCCGCACCAGCATCCCCGTCCTGCACTCCGCCGCCGCCCTCCTGCGCATCGCTGGTGCGAGGCTCGGTTTCTATAAGAGTATGATGGTTGACATGCCTACCCAGGGTGTAGTACGTACAAACCCATTGCGGGAGGGACCCCGGCCTCCATCCCACCGCAATTATTCACCCATTCTTTGATGACCTTTCCCCCACCACGACGTATAGAGATGGAGTACAGCGGCACCAACAGCTTCTTCATCCGCGTGCTGCTGGACAAGAAGTACGCGCTGCCCTACCGCGTCATCGACGCGCTGGTGGACCACTTCACGCGCTTCGCGCACGAGGAGCGTGCCCTGCCTGTGGTCTGGCACCAGGCCCTGCTCTGCTTCGTGCAGCGGTACAAGAATGAGATCCGGGCGGAGGACAAGGAGGCCCTGCGCCGCCTGCTCAGCCGGCAGAGTCACCACCTCGTGACCCCTGAGGTGCTGCGAGAGCTGGACGCAGGGCGGTCTCGCGGTCAGAAGCCAGCGGCGGGGGAGGGGGCGGGCGCCCAGTCGCGCACCGCGTCGCATGTGCGGGAGGACCCGGCCAAGCTCGCGCCCCTCATCCTCATGGAGGACTGAGGGTGGCTGTAGTGGGGAATTGTACCATGGCTCTGGGGGTTCATGACAACATGGGCGACCTGGTGTTGCTCGCTGTATATTTTTGGCCATGTCGCATGACAGTGAGAGTTACATGGACGGGCAGAGAGGAAGCACTGTACGATTTCTGTTGCAGAGCAGCACTGAAAGGCCGCTGAGTATGGTAGTAATCGTGGGCATTGGAGGGAGTTGTGCCTCTCCAAGCTTGGCACACCCCTCCAGCCAGATTGGCGGAAAGCACCGTCCATGCCCGACCTGCGCCGCGCACTCCACCCCTCACCACCAAACCTCGCCACATCACACCACATCATGGCGTCTCAGCGTTGCTTGCTCCCCGAGGCCCCGACAAAGTCCATCCTGCGGCCACCGTCGCCGCCGCCGCCGCCGCCGCCGCCGCCGCCCGCTGCGGCCATGGACCCGCCGCGGGGCGCGTCACCCAGCGGCCCCTCCCGCCGCTTGCCGCCGCGCACGTCAGTGAGGAAGGCGTCCAGGCCAAAGACGTCGGCCTGCGCGGCGTCGGCCTCAAACTGCACGGGCCCCGCTGCGGCGTCGCGCGCTGCGCCATAGTCCACGCCGCTGAAGCCCTTGTCTGGCTTGAACCGGCGCTCGCCGGCCGCATCGTCGCCACCGGCCCCCGCGCCGTGCACCTCCTCGTCCTGCCGCCCGCGGCTGCGGAACACTTCGCTCCTGTCCGCGAACAGGGGCTTGTCGTACAGGTTGTACGCGTCCTCCGAGGCCAGGCCGGAACCGACGCCCGTGTCCTGGTTGAACAGGCGCTGGTCGTACATGGCCTCCCCGCCAGACACCTGCAAAGGGGAGGGGTGGAGAGTGGGGGGGGTTGCCTGAGTGATTGGGTCGGGTGGGGGGGAGGCAGGCAGGTAAGTGGGTTCGGCAAGAGTGAAGATGGCCATGGCGAGGTGAGGATTGAGTGCGAGGGGGAGAAGGGACCTCTCCAGGCAACACAGCGGCAGTGCGCATGACACCCGCTCCCGGGCGCCGGGGCTCCGGATACGGCACAGCCAGGTTCCCACCCTGAACGGACCCCGCCCTGGCATCCCCCTGGCAAGGCCCCCCTCCACACACGATGAAACCCACCTTGGCCTGTCCCAGCGCGATCTTCTCAGAGATGTCGCGGTCGCGGTCGCGCGTGAGCTTGCTGCGCTTGTGCCCATGCGCGTCGCGCGCTTCCAGCCGGCGCTCGCGCTCGCGCTCGCGGCGCCTCTCCTCGCGGATCTCGTCTCGCTGCCGGCGCTCCTCCCGCTCCGCCCGCGTCTCGCCCTCGGCGGCAGGGCCGTCCCGCACGCGATGCGCGGCTGGGAGCTCCCGCTCCGCCTCCGACTCGGGTGAGGAGGGGGCCGCCGCCGCGCTGCGCCCAGGGCCCCGCTCCGCCAGCGGCACGGTGTTGCTGCCGCTGCCCGCCCAGGGCGCGGCGGCGGCGGCACCACCGGCGGCCGCCGGGCCGCCGGGCGGGCCGCCCACGCGGTCCATGCGCGCGCGGGCGGCCAGATCGCGCAGCTCCTGCTCCTTGCTTTCTTTTTCGCGCGCCAGGAGCTCGCGCTGCATCTTGGCGCGCGCGTCCACTGAGGCGCGCGCCTTCTGCTCGGCGATGTACAGCGCCTCGGTGAACTTGGCGAACTGGTCGTTGATCTGGACCTCCTGCAGCCCGCGCCCGTCGGCGGCCAGGCGCTTGTCCAGCGGGATGGTGTACCCCTTGCTGTTCTTCCAGTTGGAGATGCAGGGCGGGATCTTCCAGTCCGCCTGGTCCTGCACCGTCAGCGCGCGGGGGGGGGAGTGCATGACGGGGACCGGGGGCGACCCAGGCCCGCGCGGCACCTTGATGTGCCGGAACTTGGGCGGCTCCATGGGGTCCACGGGCATGTCCTGCATCTTGATGATGCGCGTTGCCGCGCCCGAGTTGTGTGCGCCCCCCGACTGCGCGGGGGTGTACTTGATGTACTGCGGCGCGCCCGGCTGCGAGGGCAGCGTCTTGGGGTTCACCGCCGCCTGCTTGCGCGAGACCACTGCCTGCAGCGCGGCCGCGGTCTCCTTGGCCGCCGCCTCCACCTCCTCCTCGTCGGGGCGGGGCATGTCGGAGTTGAGCTGCTCCAGCTTGGGCACTAGCGCGGCATGGGTCGTGGCCACCCACTTCTGCGCGTCCTTGCCCTGCCGCACCACCGCGTCGTAGTTCACCTCGCCCTCCGCATTCACGCTCAGGGCCACGGTCTGGTCCGTGCGCCCCGCACCGCCGGGCCGCTGGTTGGGGCGGCCCATCTCCAAGGGGTACTGGGCAACGTGTATCTCGGGGAAAGCACCGCCTGTGTGGAGGAAGGGGGTGGAGGGCATGACGCGGTCTAGTCAACTATCAAATGAGGTCTTAATTGATCCATTCAAATCTCGAAAGGAACTCAGCGCCGCGCTGCCAGGTCCGGGTGCAGCCCGGTGCTCGCCATCCCCTTTCCGCTCACCCCCGCCGTAGTCGTCCACCCGGCGAGGCACGAATCCCTGTCGCCGGCCATAGGGAGGCACCTCCTTGACCGGTCGCCGCGTCTCCTCGCCGCTGGGTCCCGTCGGCGCAGGAGCATCGGGAGCGGTGTATGTCTTCACAGGCGCGGGCAGGGAAGCAAGCAACGACATGGCTGGGGCCTGGATGCACACCACCTCCTCTTCGGAACGCAAGGCTCCTCAGGGAGCCTGTCACAAGCGGGGCTGTGACGGGAGTATGCCCCTCGGGAGCGGGTATCCGGGAATTCATGAGTGTCTCGGCGCCCTGGGGAAATCTTTGCCCCCCCGCTTTCCATCGCCACTCCCTGCGGACCCCATTCCCTGCCGGTTCCTCCGCCCCAGGCAACCGCATGCACGCACATTTGTCATCTCCGAGGTCCCAAGAATCAAACACCTGTCATGGTAGCGAGCCTCGCGATACCTCCTGCCGTGGCTCTGCATCGCTGCCAAGTCTCCCTGAAAGTGATCTTCAGGGCTGGCTGCCCCAGACTCCAGCACAAGACCCTTGCCAACACACGGCGACAGGGTGGGACCAGAGGTGACAACAGATCATTTCACTTCAGGGTTCAATCTGTATCCGACACCAGGAGTATGCCGGCGACGATGCCGGCGCTGCAGGAAGAGCTCAAGGCGGCCAGGCAGGCTGTCACGCTGGCCTCACGGCTGTGCCGGGTGGGTAGCTTGAGGGGCACTAATGTCGCACACATTTGCATCCATGGATATATGTCGACTAGAGGCGAGTTCACCCGCCCTGCAGTGCAATAGCCTTCGTTCACAGTGCAACACTAGGCCCGTCTGTTACAACCCTCGAAACTGCAGAGCGTCCAGATGACCCTGGGCTCCGCAGAGCACCAGGACAAGCCTGACGACAGCCCCGTGACTGTGGCAGACTATGGCGCGCAGGCCGTGGTGGCATGGACCCTGAAGGAGGCCTTCCCTGGCACCCCGCTGTCGCTCATCGCCGAGGAGGATGCCGATGACCTCAGGTGGTGCCTGAGACTGGCATAGGTGTCGATGTTTCACCGCTAAAGCGGCATTCGTCTGCCTGACTGTTCGCCTTGCCAGATTTTGGAGAATCAAGCCTTTGCATGGCCGACTGAACTGGATCCCACGGGATGGCAGGCGATTCACCTTTACGGAGCTCCCTCATCCTCCGTCCCTCACGCTGCACCCCAGCACACACCCAGACACCTCCACCACCACCCCCTCCTCCCCCCCCCCCCTCCCCCCCAAAAAAGATTGCCCAGCGGTGCCGCCATGCTGGACCGCATCACCGCGCTGGTGAACGAAACGCTGGGCCTGGCGCGCCAGCTGGCGCCCGCCCAGGTGGCCGACCTGATCGACGCCGGCGGCTCGCCCGGCGGTCGCACGGGGCGGCACTGGGTGCTGGACCCGATTGACGGCACGCGCGGCTTCGTGGGCCGGCGCCAGTACGCGGTGTGCCTGGGCCTGATCGAGGGCGAGGAGGTCACGCTGGGCGTGCTGGGCTGCCCCAACCTGCCGCAGGCCGCGCCCGTGGGCCAAGCGAGCCTGGACGCGGAGGCGGCGGGGCGAGACGCGCGCCTCGCCCCGCGCGACTCCGGCTGCCTCTTCCACGCAGTGAAGGGCCAGGGCGCATGGGTGTGTGGGCTGGCCGGCGGGGAGGTCCCTGCCCGCATCTCCGCGCAGACCGACCCAGAGGGCTCGGCGGCGGTGTACATGACGTCCTGGGAGTCGCGCCACAGCAACCACGACCTCACAGACCGGCTGGCCGCCGCCGTGGGGGTTTCGCGCCCCGCCCTGAAGCTGGACAGCCAGGCCAAGTACGGTGAGCGGCGGCGGAGTGGTGAGGGGAAGTGTTGGGGATCTTTTCGTGGGGGGGGGGGGAAGAGCTAGGGTGGCGAACTCAACCGGCATTGGGAGCCACGGGGATCATTCGGGGACGACATCGTGGCGTCCGGTCACAGACTCTAAATCCCTGCTCGCCTGCCCCGTATGAAACCCTTCTGCCCCGCCCAATTTCTCCCGCCACCCAGGCTTGCTGGCGCGGGGGGACGCCTCCATCTTCCTGCGTATGCCCGCGCCGGGGTACAAAGAGAAGGTGTGGGACCACGCTGCGGGTGCGGTGCTGGTCACCGAGGCGGGTGGCTGCATCTCCGACTGCCACGGGCGGCCGCTGGACTTTGGGGCGGGGCGGTTCCTGGAGGGCCTGCAGGGCGGCATCATCGCCGCGGCGCCCCCGACCCTGCACGCCGCACTGGTCCGCGCGTACACAGAGGCTGCCGCTGTCGACGCGTGATGTGCCGCGAGGCGCCGTGTCCTTTGCTGGTCAGTCCCCCTGCACGGAGGCTGTCCATCGCCAGCCAGGCGGTGGAAGAGCTGACAGCGACATGGCACGGGGAGCAGGTCCACGAGATCCACCACTGCGCACCGCTACCATCTCGCGCTTGCTGTCACTCTGGTGCTTGCAGAGTGGAGTGCGGACAAGACAGGAACAAGAAGGGGAAAAGACCGTCAAAGGGACCGCTTCGTGACCGCACCAGGCAAGGTCACACACCTCAAGCCACTGGGCCTCAGACGCTGGCGTAGCGGAAGAAGTAGAGCTTGAGGGCCAGGCCCAGGGCGGCGTGCAGGGCGGCCATGACAAGAAAGAGCGGCACGGACTTGGCGCCCGCGGCCTCCACCACCGCCACCCGGAAGCTGCTGAGGATGAAGATGCCGCTGGTCAGGGTGGCCACGCCCACCACCACCCAGCGCATGATCTCCACAGGGAACACACAGACAAAGGCCATGGGGATGAACACCGCCAGCGCGTAGCCTGTCGAGCAGCGGGGTTTGAGGCAGGGGATCAGGGTTTGACAGGTATGTGGAATGGGTAGGCGAGGACACCCCAGATGCCATGGACGGTGCGTGAACGTCCCCCCCGGCACGGCATCGCAGGGCATGCTCGGCCGTCGAAGGGTCTGCGCCCGCGCCGCGCGTCCCACCACAGCCCACCGTAGGTGCACCAAACGTGGGCAAGGGACACGCCGGCGCGGAAGTATCGCAGCGCGGCATACAGCGCCAGGCCTACAACTCCCACGTAGCCATAGAAGAGGCCCATGGAGCCCCCGACCTGGGCGAGGGGGGGGGGGGGGGGGCGGTCTGG